TGTTCAGGCTATCCCAACCGGCAGGACTAAAATGCACAAAATAAGATTGCTCTGCAGATTCCTCGTTAATCAAACACAAGACTTGTCAGAGCTAAACTTGAGGTTGTGCAACGATGTTACTGAGGCAGCTAAAATGGGAAATCGTTCTGGAGAGATAATTGACACAATCATTCAGGAGGTTGATACACGGTGAATATCAAGACTGACAAGAGTAATTCAACTCCTCAGGACAAAAACTTCTTTCAATGAATCAGTAAACTAAGACCTGTGTTGGAAAAACCGTTTGGGAATGAAGGTAAAAGATAATTTGGGGAAATAAATAAGAAGGGAAGAGCTGGCAGACTGGGCTTCTTCTGGTAAACCCACTCGTAGGCTCTTTTATTTCTGTAAACATGGCATAAACGCAGTTGGCTCACATGAATACGCAATCCTTGTCAATGACGTAGGCGTTTTGTGTGAATGGGAAACCGTAGATACGATGCTGCAGGTAGTTCTTCAACAAACCACAATTCTTGCCGTTCTTGGCTGACACGTAGATAAGGGCAGCACCGTCTGAGAAAAACCGTCGAAAGTGAATAGACATTTGAAGCACCCCTTTGTGAGAGAGGAAATTTTAAAAAGTGGGGACTTACAGGAGAGGCAGAACCTACGAATGTGCATTTGAATGATATCGTACTGTTCCTCACTCATTCCCTGCTTCCTCTCCATGTCATCCATCACGTCAGTCTACGAAAGTAATCGGAAAATTAAAATTGCCTTTTTTGCCGTAAATTAATTTTTATTCCACCAGCAATGTCGTTCAATGTCATTCTAACTTCTGGTCTCTTGTGCAACTAATAAAGCCTGTTACGGTATAGGCCACTCAAACATGGCGGACCATTTCTATCATACCCTCGCGTTCACGTAAAAGCTCGTGATTTTATAATTCCTCCATCACAGCAATTTGGAAAAACATCATTAACGGAAGAAGAGGAATGAGATAGTACGTTTCTATCAATAAAAACTACAGCAATGACGTATTCCATTGTCCTGACAACCAAAACCCCCTCCTGAAAAGTTCCCCAAAAGAGGCGTTGATTGCCCAGCTTGGAATTTCATCAAATAGCTAGATAACATGCATGCCTGCTTAGCCTTCAGGAGGGAGGGCATCTCAGCTGCGGCCCTCCACTCACTCACAATCCAACGAAGGCCTACTGAATATGCGTTATAGCATCGACGGAGACGGAAAAGCAATGAGTGGATCGCTTGGGATCTACTTCACACCAAAGAATACTTACATACGAAAGCCAAAAAGTAAACAACCCTGGTAAGGGAGCAAAGCCCAATTTTTTACATCCCTTAATTTTCCCCACAGCAGTTTGTACAATTATTTGTTTTAACATTGGAAAATGAGTCCTCCAAAGAAGTAGTACAATTAAGACAAAGCAATGTAGTTATTGTAATTAAAAATATTTATTTGTATCAAATAGGTCATTTCACATAACGGACACTTTGGCTCACCTAATATGTCATTGATTTGCAAAGGTGCTTGTCATATACCCAGAAAAAATTTAGAATTCTAACAAATATGACAATGCAATGAAGCCTCTGAAGAGTTATAAGAAAGCTTACTAAAACACCATCCCATTCCTTCGGGGAATCGAAATTTAGACATTTAACCGAAGACAAAAGCCGCACTCACGCTACTAGGCAACATAATGTTCAACCCTACACGACTCACCTTGGTGACCACAACCACCAGAGGAATACCGAGATTATTGATTAGAGCACCTGGAGTAATAGGCAACTCCTTCAGCACATCAGAAACTGTCTTCTTACTCCTCTTCGGTTTTGACATCTCGCCTTCGCCGCCTTCACCTTCGTCTACATCATCCTCATCTCCTTCTTCTTCAGCGTCATCCTGAAGAACAGACTGGTTCTGTTGCTGCTGCTGCAAGCCACTCAATCGGAGAAGGGCTGCAGTAGCTGGATGGAGGGGATTCCCACCAGTTGCGGCAACAGCAGCTGGGCGGGAAACCTGGGCCACCGGCGCAGCACTCTCACCAACACCATCAGCTGTGTCAGTACCGCCACTATTACCACTCGCTGAGTGTAAAAGTATGCTGTCCGGTTCAATGTATTCGCGGAAATGGCGCACAACTAAAGCGGTGGAAGTAAGTACACTGTTTGAAAAAGGTTCGAATTAAGAACTAAATTTATTCCAAAACCATTCAAACCCACTCTGCCATGTCTTCCATGAAAACAGCAAGCCCACTACCCTAACTTCGTTCTTCACGGCAAATTACGAGATAGGTAGGTAGTATCAGACCAATTATGAAATAATGACAAAGAAGCACACACAAGATCAGGATGTCCACAAATATAAAAAAGATAAAACAGAAGGTGCGTGAGTGCCCAACAAAATCACTTCACAAACGCAGCAATTTACACGCCTTTAGACAATGCAACTACGCTCGACCATCCCACCAACACCACAATGCACACGACGAAAGAATCACAGATCCTCATCAACGTGCTTACGACTATCCTTATACTCTTGCATCTCCTCCACTTCAATGTCCATGCTCTTTATGTAGTCCTCCAAAGCATTGGCCCACTTCTCCAATTCATTCATGATATTCCAAGGCCTCTCCATGTCCACCACAATCACCACCATGCGATTGGCAAAGTTCCTCTTGTCGAGAGGAAACTTGAGATAAGGTATGAACTCCAGATCTCCGTCCAATATCCATACACTCAACTTCGTTTGATCTAGAACTTGTGAGAAATGACGCACCAAATACCATCCGTAGCTTCATCACGGATGTCGACAAAGTGGTACTCAAGACCGGGACTTCTTGGTGGAAGATGTTTATGACTTAAACGACAGGCGAGGGTGCTTTTACCTGTCCCATAATCTCCCAAAACAACTACACCCTTATTATGAGGAAGCTTTCCGATGCGGGCATTTGCAACCTCTTTCAAAATGCATGACCTAAGATGTTACAGAAAATAGGGCAAATACCATAAGTGAATAGAATCCTCGCCGGTTTCCGAAGGCTTTACATCCACTTCGACCCCCATTTATGAGCAGTTTGCTGAAGCGCTCTGGTAAGCGAACATGTAAAACAAGTATTTCATCACCAATTCTGGCAATTACTAATGGGGTTCTAACCTAGATAAATGGATCTAATATTTAACAGTTTAATGTATCAAATTCAAAGTTCCACATCGTTTTACAATTTATCCAATATGTCTTATGTTTTTAATTAGTTTTGGTGATACTTTAGCTTTCGCATATGCACTTTGATTTAGTTTTATTTTTAAACCATTTTTTCCACTAATTTGTTGTGCATCTACACTTTAAATTTTTTAGCATGGATTTACAAACATCAACCTTCTAGCTATATAATGTTTTGTGCATGTAAGTAACCCACTTTGATTGGTTCGGTTTTCTTAGATCGTGTCTGTGTAATTCACTTTCCTCAGCTCACAATACTTAAAAGTCATTGCCACGCGACAATGGTATTTTTCGAGTGGCATCTCCCCTCAGTTCGAGGACTCTCCATGTGATTCATTTATATTTCCACACATAAAGTATCTCTCCGAGTGGTCATATTAAGCACAATGTACAAACGCATGCGTATGCATTTACATGTGATAAATATGGATGTACTGCCTTACGCTTCACTCTCCTCGTCATAAAATGCGGAATTTAGAGAAGGTAGGCGCTTAGAGTAAGATTTATCGGGCATAGTCATGTAGGTACAATCTGCAGGGATCTGGGAAAAACTAAGGCGTAGGAGGTTTTTCGAAGGACCCACTGCCTTCCCCCTCTTAAGGCAAAATAAACGCAGGTTCAGGTTCATGCGCTTTGTTTGCGACCGTTTGACAGACTATACCTATTTTACACCTTTGCGAAGTCAATGAATATTTGTTTCATACTTATAAATGCGCGAGTCTTGAATCGGCACGAAATGTGCAAAGACAGCCTCCTCGACCTTTCACAAGCAGTAATGACAATGACATTTATCAGTCACAAAAATGTTTTATGGATTCCATGGAAAACCTTTAAATTTTACATGTATTCTGATGACTCAGTTGACTAAATAATGTGCCATAAATTGGCCTTAAAAACTACTTTCTCTTAATGAGGAGACGGAATCCGTAAAAAATGATCCCGCGCTATACTTTCCCTCGTCAATGAAGCGGGTTAGGCAAAGAAAAAGTTCCCAAGGAGATTTGTTTGCGCTGCAGATGGAGAGAGTGAGTGATAGCTTTTTTATGACAGGCAAGTGGAATAGGCCTGATTACTTTAGAAGGCGTGGTAAAGCAGCATTGCCAAGGCCATAGCGTAACTTTAATGGAGGACACAAAGCCAAAATTGCCTTCAAAGACGTCAGGCTGCATGGACACTTAAAAGCAAATGCGAGTGATGCCGAACCACTCACTTTAATTAAAGTTCTCTGTGTTGACCCTTTAATGTACATTTGATCTTGCAACGATGCCGATCTGACGAATTTAAAAGTTGGTTATTATGAGCTCATGTCGTTCCATTCCTCATTTTTCAACTTTTCAAAACCTATCCACTCATTCCTTACCAATATGACCCTTTGATCAATCAGTGCCTCCTATCTTTA